TCTTTCTTTCTTTCTTTCTTTCTTTCTTTCTTTCTTTCTTTCAATACCTCAGTATCCCACCTCTTTAAAAGATTGAAGTTTGGTAGCTGGGTATTCTGGTTTACACCTATAATCCTAGCAAGTAGGAGGAAGAGGCAGGAGTGTTACTATGAGTTCAAGGCCATCTTGGGCTACATAATGAGTTCTAGCCAGTCTCAGCTACAGCGAGAGACAGTGTCTGGAAAAACAAACAACAACAAAACAAAAAGATTGATGCTTGGAAGTAAGTCTCACCGAAACTGCTTTTCCCACTTGGCAGCATTCTTCTTGAGGTTTGGCTGCCTACCAACAAGGCAAAGCCAATGCTTCAGACTGTGACTGATGGGGGCAGGAATCTAGCACACCCTCCCTTCACAACCACAGCTTTTTATTTAAAACTCAAGCAAGAAAACCACTGACTTCTCTGTTTTGATACAGCATGAATGGACCCACCCCTTACAACCCCCTGCTTTTTTAAAAACAGGAGATAACTAAAATTTTAAAGACTGAGTAATCATATATATATTGGGTGGTTTTCCAAGGCCTTTAAATTGAGATAATTATTATTTGGGCCCCCATTGTCTTTGGGGACTTTAGGGAAGTGTGGAGCATATGAATCTTCAGAGGCCGATTTATTCTTTAACAAGACCTTGTTTGAATGACCTCCAGGGCTGCCCAGTTTCTCTGTTGCTTCTGCACCTTCCCACCTCCGTTGCCCACCATGGCTGGGTGAAGCTGTGTGGGCAGTGGATACTGGATGTTTTTAGGGTTTTGAAGTGAGGTGATCCGTGTGGTTAGGATAGGGCTGGAAGCGATGGGGCCCTCAGGGATCTACTGTCCCCAGACTTTTCTCTTCTTTTTTTTTTTTTTCTTTCTTTTTTTTTTTTTTTTTTTTGCCATCATAAGTCCTGTCTGCTCTTTTAAGCCATTTTAAAGCAGTCAGTACAAGTCCTTAAAATAGAATCCTACTTGGCCAGATTGGCACCTAGTGGTAATTTTTTTTTAACATATGCTTTTTATTTCAGAACAGTTTTCAGGTTATTGTAAAAATAGGAGAACAGGGTTTTCCATACTCGGCATCTGGTTGCATTCATGGCTAACACTCTACACAGATGTGAGATGCCTGTCACAGTTAATGGACTACTTGTCACCATCGGTTAATAAACTACTTACTCAGCACTTTATTTCGAGTTGAATAGTTTTGCCTAATGTCGTGTTTCATCCCAGGTTCCCTACCAGGACATCTCATGGCCATGCCACTTTGGCAGTTTTTGCTTCTAACAGTTTCTCAAGCTTTTCTGGTCTTTGACAACCTTTGACAGTTTTGGGGTTTGCTAGCGAGGTTCAATGGACATTTGTCTCAAGGCTTTCTTGGTTAGACCATGAAAATGGAGTAAGGTGTTTTGGAGAAGAAAGCCACAGTGGTAAATTGTTAATCCAGGTCACATGACTTGAGGAGTTTCTGTTCGCTGTCTTCACCCTTTCCCTGTGGTTCAAGCCCAGCTTCCCTCTTGGCTGCTAGGGTTGTTGGTTTCTTCTTTTCCTTGTGATTTGGCACTTGAGACTCAAAAGCTCGAGAGTGACACCTGCTGGTAAAATGTAGTGCCGCCAGTCTGTATCCCACGCAGCACTGAATGTGTCTCCAGCATCTGGGAGGATCCAGACATTCTTCAGTATAGTCTCCACTGGCTGGGCAGCATGGTGGGCAGGAAAGTGATTTAGAAGCAGGCAGAGACTTAAGTTTCTTCACAAGCTTTTGATACTTAGCCAAAGTGGAGAGATTTAATTTAGGAAAGTATTTCTGGTTTAAATAGAGAAGTCAAATGAGGAATGAACTTTTTGCTGTACCCCACCCTCTACCCCCAAATTATCTTACAGAAACTGTTAGAAGTTATCTCTCTGTATTTAAGTACCAGCTGTGTATTCTTCACTAGACCTGATAGCTAATCTTGGTAGGAACATAGTGAAGGATTTTAAGATAGACAAGGGACTTCTACCTGGGAAGTTTAGTGTTGTATATAAACTGAGGTGGCTAGTTCTCGGCTCAGTGGTTAAGAGCACTTGCTCTTGGAGTTCTCAGCATGCGCATGGTGGCTCACAGCTGTGTATAACTCCAGTAGCAGGGCATCCAGCATCCTCCTCTGGTATCCACAGTCACCAGGCACACATATGAAACATAGGCCTACATGCAGGCAGAACCCCCATACACAATAAAATAGTTTTAACAGAAATCTGAACTAAATCTTAACAAAAATGGAGAACTGGGTAAATGTGCAGTGTAATTATTGTTTGGTTTTTATTGTCTCCTTTAAGAGAGATTTTATTTTTAAATTTTTTTGGTTTTTTTTTTTGAGTTTTGTTTTTGTTTTTGTTTTTGTTTGTTTTTTGAGATAGGGTTTCTCTGTATAGCCTTGGTTGTCCTGGAACTCACTCTGTAGACCAGGCTGGCCTCGAAATCAGAAATCTGCCTGCCTCTGCCTCCCAAGTGCTGGGATTAAAGGCGTGAGCCACCACCACCTGGCTTATTTTTACATTTTTTATTAGACTTATTTTATATATGTTTTACCTGCATATATGCATGTGTACAATATGTGTGCTTGGTGTCCAAGGAGCTCAGAAGAATAGATCTCTAGGACCTGCAGTTACAGATGGTTGTGACTCACCACACGTATGCTGGGAATCAAACCCATGTCCTCTGAAAGAGCAAATGTTCTTAATCACTGAATTCTTATTTTTGTTTTGTTTTATTGATACAGAGTTGCTTTGTGTAGTCTGTCAATCCTGAACTTTCTCTGGCCTCTAAGTCAGAGTAGGCTGGACTCTAACTCAGTACCTGCCTCTGCCTCCTGATTGCTGGGATTAAAGGCATGTGCCATCACCACCTGTCTGAGACCTTATTTTTATTTTTAATTATGTTTATGTGTGCGTGTGTGCTCATGGAGGTCAAGGGACGTCATATCCCTTGGAGCAGAGTTCTGTATGGGTGATGTGAGCTGCTGTGTGGGTGCTGGAAACTGAACTGGGCCCTCTGCTAGAGCTGCATACGCTCTGAGCTACCGAGCCTTCTCTCTGGCCCCATGTTTCCTCCTTTTTAAAAAGTCCCACTGAAGCCACACATGTACAGCCCAGTCGTTTGAAATGTACAGTTCCAAAGCTTCCAGTGTATTCAGATTTGTAGAACAGCCAACAAATCAGTGTCAGGACCTTTCAGCACCCCAGAGGGAAACCTCAACATCCTTACCTGTTACCACCCTCTCTCTGGAGCCTGGTAGCCTCCCCTGTGTCTCCTGTCTCTTAGGTGTCATCCTCTTTCTTCCACTCAGCATGTTCCAAGGGTCACTCACAGTGGAGCACTGGCTAGTACTTCCTTCTTACTGTGAGGTGATAGTCTGTGTGTGAGCATACCACATTCTGTCTGTCCACCCTCAAATGGAATTTCTTTTTTTTCTCCTTTGGCTTTTAGGCATAACACTGTTA